GAGTCATGTCGTTTTCGGCTCCGGTGGAGTCATACGGTGGAGAGTCATTTTGTTTTCGATTCTGGTGGAGAGTCATCTCGTTTTTTGCTCCGGTGGGTGGAGAGTCAACTGCTAATTTTATTTATGTTTTCTTTTTGCGTTTATATTCAAAATTCTCATCAAACTCAAGTTGGTTTATGTTATACCACTTGAGTTTGAAGGGGAATGTTGAGATATTTTAGATATTCAGATTTAGTAGATTTATATCTAGATATGATCTTATTTATAAATTAGATTACTTAGATTTGAGTCTATCGAATCTATTTTGTATGACCTATATATAGGCTCCTTATTTTGACGATAATAAGACAATCTTATTAATTTTCCCCAAATTTTCTAACAATTCTCATTGCATATGCTCTTACTTCATAACCATTTGACCATCAACTCAACGTGTTTCATATGATGTGATCTCTTTTCATACATAGAATATATTAGCCATTAATACATTAGGTAAAATGTTGCATCATATAATTTATAAAATCTTTGGTTGGCAGTTGAAAGTCATTATTTTTTAATTTTTCATCTTGATTAGTTTTTAAATATAATTAAGGTGTGATCTGTTTACAATCTTATGTTTTTATCTCTCACAAGAAGAAATAAAATAAAATAAAATAAAATTGCATACATTCATGATTTATTTTATAACCTAAACTGTTTTTTTTATTATAGTATCTCAATAAAAATATGTTTTCAAAATAATAATAAGAAAAATCAAACCAAAACACTAATCAAACAAATCATTATTTTAATTTAAATTAATATACGCTAATTATATATATATATATATTCTTATTTACTATATTTTATTGGATTATTTTTTAAATCTTCAAAAATTGTTTATTTTTAATTATATATAGTATATAATAGTTCAACTTAAAATTAAATAATACTCCGTTGTCCACTACATATGAGTTTTAATAAATATAGTATTATATTGATTGGTTGTTAAATCAATAATACTTTATATTGTATATAGTCTTATCATATATTATTAATTAATTAATATATTGTATTTATACTATATTAGCAAAATTTGTATCTTGTCTATCATTGTATATGTGTATTGTCTATCATAATGTGATATACTATCAACATTATGTTGAATTATGTAATTCAGTACAGCAACCAGTCGTGCGTTACAATATTAGGGTTTATTTGGTTTTATTTTCAAAAGCAAAATCTTATTATTCAGCCTATACAATTTTTGATAAATATATTATTTTATTATACAAATATCATATCAAAATACTAATTGAGCTTAAATCTAAATGAAAGGATCAATTTCAATATAAATCTAACAAACCCTTATAAATATCTTATAGATGTTTGTTGATATTATCTACACAATTTACATATCTCATAAAAAAAAAAAACAAAAAAAGAAAAAAAAAAAAAGAAAAGAAAAACACCAATACATTTGTCTATAGAGTTCACTTCTCATTAGGTGGTGAGTCCACTTCAACTTATGTATGCATATATTAATATCTATTTTTATACAAAATATAATAGTATTTATTATCTTTTTAAAATATAAGAATATTAAATAAAAACATACAGTAAAAAATAAATATCATTGTAACTTATGTGGACGTGAAATATTATACTAATTTAAAGTAAAATTAAGTACAAAATAAATATTATTGTAAATTATGTGATGTGAGATATACTAATTTAAAGTAGAGTTATATTGTACTTTCTACAGTGAGTTAGCTATTATTATTTTTTTTGTTAAATTTGTACCTGATTCATTTATTGAAAATAATTTTATGAATTTATTTTAACAAATAAAAATTTATTTTTCAATATTTTTTATATTTATCACATTTTATTGTTATTAATTATGTAATAAATTTTTTTAATACTTTCAATTTATTTATTAAATATATTTTTTTATTTTAAAATATCATTATTTTATTAATATCTTCTTGTAAAAAAATGACATAATTTAAAATTAAAAAATGAAAATTTATCGATTTCAATATCTAGTTTACAAATATAAACACATAATATCGAACGTAGAATTTATTAGGATTTCTACTATGCATAAAACATTTTATTTTTTAAAATTAAATCAAATCTAATACTTATATTCATTTTCATTTTTACATTATATTATATTAAAAATAAATTATATATTTCAAAATACCATATTAATATTTATTTTATTTATAAGAATAATTATTTTAATTGAAAATGTTGATATTTCAAATTCATACAAAAAAACTTAAACTCAACAAACAAATTAGCCCAAAATATAACTGATAAACCCAAATAAAAAATTTAAAAATTTATGTTTAGAGCTATCAAACGAATGAAGTTGTTCGTGAATTTAGCTCGATTTAAACTCATTTATGAACATAAATGAGCCAAGTCGAACAATATAAATAAGTTGGTTTGTTAGCAAATGAGTTTGAACTTTGTTCACGAACTTCATTAAAATATAAATATGTAAAATTATTAATTAAAAAAACTAAATAAAATATTATATATATAAATTATATAATAAATAAAATATTATACATATCCAAACGAACTCAAACGAATTTATTCTAGCCAAACATAAATACGAGTTCAAACCCTACGAACAAACTTGAATGATTAACATACGAAAACAAATTTTATTTGTAAATATCAAGAAACGAATACAAACATTTAAAATTCTATCCGATTTAAGCTGTTAACGGCTATGTTCGAATGAAGCCTTGGACATAATAAAAGATTTAATTGAATAGATATTTAATAAGAGTAATAAGTATGTAATATATTATTTTCAATAAAACAATTTATTTCTAATATAATATAAAAAAATCAATTTAATACTTAAAATAATTAATAATGTAATATTTTATATTTTGAAATAAATAAATAATATCATATCAAAGAATTTTTTAATAATATTAATATTGATTATAATTAAAAAGATTTTTTGTATTAAAAAATACAGATGAGGATAAACATTCAAATATTTTATTAATATTATTATTTTTAGTAATATTATTATTATATTATAAATTTAAGATAAATATGAATTATAATATATAAAATTAATAATAATACAATAATAATATATAAATATATATATATATATATAAATCAAACGAAAACAAACAAACGAAACCCCGCATAACAAGAAAGAAGAGAGGAGGCAGAAAAGATGGAGAAAAGGGAAAAGAAAATTTGGCTTCCAATCTAATTTTGTTAATTTATTCGTAAAGGTAAGTAGAATTTAATTACAATTTTAAATATGATTTAAATTATTTATTTTATAAATTAGGTATTTGAAAAAAAAAATAAAAAACTGATAATTAAATATTTAACTATAAAATCATGATAAATTTTAAGTTATTTGATCAGATATAACTCAAATTTTATATTTGGAGTATTTTTATCTTTATCTAAATTTAAGTTATTTTGTACCTATCTGCTTATTCATAATTTTAAATATTTTTTATTTTAAAATATATCGATCAAAATAATATTAAGTATAAAACTTTTATAATTACAATAGAGTATTTTATTATAAGAAAAATTTTGAAAACCATCATATTAGTTTTAAAAATACATCATTTGAGTAAGCTAGTAGCTCTTTTGAATACCCAGGTAGTTCATCTTGTATGTTAACAAACTATATTTGTAAGCAATCTGGTTTTATTTAAATTAAGTTAATATATTAAAAAATTTATAGTTGATACTATATGATAATTAAACCATTAATCTAACTCGAAAAAGAATAAGACATAGTATTTTGCTTCCAAAGGTTATTAGTTGTCAATCGTAACAATATATTGGTAATATCATATTGATTGAGCTCGTTAGCTTGATATGATAACCGAAACTGATAAGTAATTATATGGGAATAATATTCACTTAATCACAACTTAATTGTTATATTTGAAGTATAATTTCGTAAGCTTATGTGATTTAATATCAAATGCGAAACTTACCATACCTCTTTGTTTGGGGCTCGACAGGAATGTGATCCACTTGATTTTTTATTGCTCTTATTGCATGGATTGCATATATTATACATATAACATGATTGTTATGTGTGCATTTTTTGGATATTACTGTTATTTGCAATGTACAGTAGTGCTTGACAATGACACCATCTTACGTACATTAAATTAATGTACCGTTACATTTTGCAATAACAGTAGTTAGTCGGACAACCAATTGACCTGTGTCGCAGGGTCTTTCGGAGATTAAATTTGGTTATTTATAACTCTATCTAATCATTATCGTACAAGTTTTGGTCTACTTATTAGATTGATCACTAGTGAAGTCTAATGATAGTTCAGGATCATTGGTCAACTCCAAACGCAATTTCGAATGGGGGCGCGAGGAGGAATAGAGTTTTCATGTTCCCTTTAGGTGATTTTTGGGGTGCACGAATCTCACTAATATACACGGGATAGATCTATCTTCGCTACCACGAGCTCTTGATAGTTCTGTTGTTAATGGCGATATATGTGGGCTATTCATATGATTGATTGGCATACTTCTATTATATGTACCTTGTTGATTATGCATTTATTGTTAGGGGTTAGTTGTCTGTCTGATTGTATCAGGTTTTCTATATTATTTTTTTAGAGACATTCCATTTGATTGATTTGGCTTGTCTCGTGCTATTGATGATATTCATGGACATTTTTGGATAATGCCAATTATTGTGGGTAGCTTTACTTGTTGACGATGTTAAATATTGGAACAATTATACTGAAAAATAAGAAATGTTTTATGCAATGGGAAGTATCACAAATCTTTCTGGATAATGCGAGTGGTTTTTCTTTTTTGGCTTATCATATCCTTATAAGGAATAAATATAACGGAGAAATAAAAAGGTAATCATAACACATGTAGCATAAATTTTGTAAGTATAAATGATATAAATCGTAGTTACTGGTGTAATTTTGTTTTACTTACTCAGCAATTTGCTGATTTAAATCTACATTTTGTAGGTAATCTGTGTAAGAAGAATTCGCTCTATGCATCATAATAGAATTTATTCGGGGTCTAGAGCACTTAATTAATTATTATTATTATTATTATTATTATTATTATTATATAATGATCTAATTATCTTAATTGCGAGGCACATACATGTGTTTTATTTTAATATATTTATATAAAAAAAAGATATTTATTTATATATGTTGGATTTATGTATTTATAACATTATATAAGCGTTAGTACGTATTAGGCGGGCCGACTAGATAAAACTGACTCCTTCGTTCGGTTTAACGGTAATATTTCGGTTCGAACCGATTGAGATGTTACAAATAGATAGTAAAAGTTAAACTCAACTTATACCCAAGCACAATCCTATACATAAAAGATATACGTACATGTTTTCGTATGTATACATGGAGTCTGAGTTGTACTTTTTCTATATATATATAAGTGCTACATTCATGGCCTACAATAAAAATCACACAAGAAAAATTTAACTTCCATATCTCGTCTACAATATTACACAACCACAAACTTCTTGCAATGTCACTTCCCAATGGAAACAATCCGAGCCAAGAAATTCTTGATGCTCAAGCTCATATTTGGAACCACATTTTCAATTTCATAAACTCCATGTGTTTGAAATGCACCCTTCAATTAGGCATCCCCGACATCATCCACAGCTACGGCAAGCCGATGAAGCTTTCGGAATTAACCAACGCCCTCTCCCTCGGCCAAGACAAGTCTCCTTTCCTCGACCGGCTAATGCGAATTATGATCCACTCCAAGTTCTTCATCAAGGCCAAAATCTTCGATGATAGCGACCAATCGGGCTATTGGATCACGCCGTCTTCTCTTCTCCTCCTCAAGAACGAAGCCTCGAGCGTCGCGCCATTCGCGCTCGCCATGCTCGACCCGGTCTTAACCGACCCGTGGCATCAATTAAGCAAATGGTTAGGGACTAGCCATGCAACACCATTCATCACCACTCATGGGAGAGATTTTTGGGAGGAGGCCGGGGGAAATGCGACGATGAATACGTTCTTCAACGAGGGAATGGCGAGCGATGCTCGCCTTATGTTAAGTATAATGACTAAGGATTGTAGGCATGTTTTCCAAGGGTTGGAATCGATTGTCGATGTTGGAGGCGGCACGGGAATCGCAGCCAAGGCTATTGTCGATGCCTTCCCGGGGCTAAAGTGCGCCGTGCTCGATCTCCCCCATGTTGTCGCCGGCTTGGAATCGACTAAGGACTTGAATTATGTCGATGGAGATATGTTTGAGTCAATCCCTTGTGCTGATGCTGTGTTTATGAAGGTATGCATATATAGATTGTAGTATATATAAATTTGTGTTTGTAATAATGTTCGATTGTGTGAATATTGCAGTGGATATTGCACGATTGGCCCGACAAGGAGTGTGTGAAGATATTGGAGAATTGCAGAGAGGCAATAATGGCGAGTAAAGAGAAGGGAGGGAAGGTGATTATAGTGGACATTGTGATCGATGAAGATGAAGGCAGAGTTGGGCATGAACTGAGGGAGACACAGCTGTGCTTCGATATGATGATGATGGTTTTGGTTTCTGGAAAAGAGAGGACTGAGAAGGAATGGGCTAATCTGTTTGATGCTGCTGGGTTTAAGAGTTACAAAGTTACACGTATCCTTGGAGTGAGATCTCTTATCGAAGTATTTCCCTAAATAATTTGGATGTAGATTATGATTATTAAAATTTGAGTCTAGAGTTTGCTTGATTTTGGTTTTGTGAAGAAAATCCATGTTTGAGTTAGTGAGTACTTTTTTTTTTTTTTTTTTTTATGTGAGTATGTGAATTTTGTCGGTAATATAAAAATAAAATTTTAGATTGAATGTATTTTTTTTTTATTTTAAGGAAATAGAATGTATTTTATATAAATTTGAATAGTTTAAGTTGGGTGAATTGCAAATAATATATGCACGATTGATTGAATATACTTAAAATGTTTGTTTTAAAAACTAAATATATTCAACAAATAAGATATATTTTTTAAATGATTAATATAATTTGTTTATATAAAAATTTATTATTTTGAATGTATATGAATTCTTTTATTTATGGCGAAGATATACATAAAATAAAATTATAGGTAAGTTCATCATTGTATGTATTTATTTTATAGATAAAAATAAATTAATAATAATAATAATATACTCCCTCAGGTCCCACGTAATTTGTCTCTATTTTCTATCTTCGTCCATCCCACATAACTTATCTTTTTTATTTTTAAAAATATAATTATACACTTTAATCATATTTTCAATTTTATAATTTTTTCAATTTTAATTAAATTATTTGCTTACTTTAATCTTAATTTATAATTATTTTTACTAAATAATAATTATTTTTAAAAATACATTTTCTAATTACCTACTAATTATATTTTATCTGTAATAAGCCCAAAATATTTAGTACAGGGAGTATTTAATTAGAGAGCTCTATTTGACTTTATTTATTTTTTGCCCAAACCTATTAATGCCTCAAACCACATGTTATTTAGAGTTGGTAAATTCATTGTACTCATATATATGTATAGGTAATACAGGTCTTCGTCCACTCTACAATCATACCAACCATACAGATAAAAGAGTTTGTTTGTTCATAATGTTTTTTTTCAATAAAATTTTTAATATATATTTTATTCTTTCACAAAAATCAATATTCAATATAAAATATTATTTTTAATATTATCAACATAATTTTATATATCTCGTATAAACTTTAATGATATATGCACTTTGTATGTACCTCCATTTATTGGATATACAATTAAAATATTTTTTGCTGGTCTTATAGAGTTAATTAGTATTATATTTGTCTTTGATATAATGTTAAAAATAAATTTAATAATATCTTTATAAAGTTTACAATTCGCCTTTTGCTCATAGTCTTAAAAATTTTTGAGACGGCAAGTACTTATTATAATTATTGAGTCATCACATATTAAAAGCTGCTTAAAAAACAAAATAAAACAAAAATAAAAATTCGGAGGAGTTGATCTCACAATTTTTTTGTATGTTTCTTTACACAAATTTTCTCAAATTTTACTATTTGGACTCTGCGTTCCTCGAAAAAAAAAAATTCTTACAAAATATCTCATCAAATATTATTTTAATACCAAATCCAAACCAAATTTTCTCAAACTCAACTAAAAGAAACACATCCGAGAACATATAACTCTGATATCATATTAGATGATATAAATGACTGCTTGAAGCTGATATTTATTTATTTATCGACATAGGAAGTCAACCAACAGATATTATTTATTAGGTAATTATTTATTATTATTATTATTATTATTATTATTATTTATCAGAGTGATTTTTTATATATAGGATTCTACAATGAAGAAGTGACACGTGTATATCTTTAAATGTCAAAATTCAAGTACTACTGTGGTAATAAGATGTAACGATATCAATCTTCTTATATTAGTATATATATACTCCGTAAAAACAAACTCAATAAGGTCAAATTTTTTTCTGATATCAGTAAAATCCATAAGATTCACACTTCTATGCTTATTATGAGAAATATATATATATATATATATATATGCATCCATAATAATTTTATTTAAAATAATATCCCTGCTCTGTATAATATGCTACTGGCACAATATAATTGCACAATTATAGAGTATTTATTTATAGATACGCATTCCAATATGATACAGGGTCCCTCCACCCTGGCATGCATGTGAGTTTGTGTTGTCTTGAGATAAAACACGTATTTTTTAATTTATTTTTCAAATTCAAAATATATTACTTTAAATTTAAAAATATATGTTAAATGCTGGAAAGGCTAGGATGCTATACTTAACACTAATCAGATATCTTTATTAGTATTTTTAATGTATTAATTATAGAAAATATATTATGTGTGCATTTACCATATGGAATTATGGTAGATAATATATTTACCTGATATAATCTTATGTTTATTTTAATGCATTCAAGTCAGATCTCAATACAATAATATAAATTTGGAGGATAATTAATCTAATTATTCCTTTAATATTATTTGACACTATTACTATTTTATTGAAGCGTTGTCCAAGTGATGTACGTAAAGATAATTTGTGTTTTGGTATAAAATAAATAATATGATAATAAAATAGAAATATTTATATATTTATATGAGATATAACTTTGCCACAAAACTAATTTACAATTTTAAATATATCTAATAAATAATTTAAATATATATCAAATTATATTTGTTATAGTAATATCACAATTAAATTATAATAAATTGTTATGTTAAAAAAAAAAAAAAAACAAGTACTCCCTCAATCCCAATTGAAAAAGGTGTCTTTTGAAATTTTATAGCAAATTAAGAAATGATAATATTTTATTGGTCAGTGAAAGAACTCTAGAGTTAAATGTGTTTGCCTAGAGTAATTTGAGGATAAACAATCCCTTGAGAAGTCCCACAGGATGCACGTAAGTGCATAATTTGAAGACAGGTGATCCCCTTAAAAGTTTCACAGAGTGCGTGTGAATGAGAACAAAGCACGCTTGAAGGACTTGTATTTGATCCGTAGAGTCAATCTAATCCTGACACGCACGACCAACATGGCTTGCGGGCCAAGGTGTCATAAAAATATAATATAATTGCATAATGAATTGTAGCGTAATATCTATTTCTACTTGCTTCATTGGTCTAACTCCTACTACCACTTCTAAGGTCCGCTTTCCTCCAGATGTGTTTGATAATTATCAAATATGTTAAATGTAAATGTCTCTTATTTTATATTTTAGCATATGTGTTTATTCCGTTGACAATGTGTTGTTATAACTGTGAATTAATCATGTTTTGAAGAGTTGACCCCATTTAAGGTGTTTGAAGAAGATTTTGATGACTCTCATTTTTCAACAAAATAGACTAGTCATTTGAGAATAATATAGCTCCAGTTCATTAGCAATATAATTATAAAAATTTAAAAATTTGGGATTTAAAAAAAAAAAAATCATCAACTACAAAGATAATGAACAAATTTTTATGTCTGGATGAAAATTTATGCTAGGCAAGAGTTTAATCAATATTAAAATTTAGTTATTTTACAGCTTAATATATTTTCCTTCCTTGTTTGAATTATTTTTCTTCCTTTATTTAGTGTAGAACATTATATCTCTCCATAATATATAGATAATCGAACCACTATTGTATTTTGCATTTTCTTTGACGTATGAACTAATATTTATTTTACAATTATATGACAAACTACCAATTAGACGCATATTTTCAATCAATATCAAATTTCAGTTATATATATATATATATTTTATGTGTACTTTAATATAATTATAAAATTTTATAGAAAATATAAAAGTATAAAACACAATATATTTTAGAGCATCTCCAACCGAACCCTAAATAAAATTTTGTTAATGACATCAATGTGAAATATGTCATTATATTAATATAAGAATTGTATGTGTTTTTATGTAATAATGTCAATAGCTAAATTTTAGTGAGACACGTTTACATATATACGTGCATCAACTACATATATACTATATACTACATATTAAATATACAAGTCTACATATATTTATTCATCTGCTATATATATATATTTATTATACCTATATATATAACATAAATATATAATGAGCCTCTTGTTTACCCTGGGTTCTGGGCGGACGCTCCTTCCGCTCGGGCCCAGAGCCGGCCACATATATATATATATATAATATTTTATGATCTCATTGTTATATCTATTTTGGTATATCTCATAACATATTTCTAGTTTTTGTTATCAATATCAAATTGAGATATTCTTAATTTTAATTTTAATTTTTATTATATTTGCCCATATAAATATTTTTTACAATCTATAAAAGGCTGGCTATTATGGTATTGAATAGTATATTAAGAACACAAAATTTATTATTTAAATTAATATAACATAAATACAATACAAAAATTAGAATTAAATTTCATATTTCCTACAAAACACATATTATACTTCCATAGAATACACATTTTAAATATAAAGAAAAGAGTGTTATCTGCACTAAAGATAAGTGCTATGTTTGAACTTTTATTTCACGACTTGTTATAAAAATACAGTATTTAAAGTCAAATGATAAAAATATCAAAATATCTTATATATTTTTATTTATTAATTAATTAAATAATATTATTTTCAAATTTTTTACAAAATCTCAAAAAAAAAATTCATCAACCAAAAGTTTTGGAACTAAGCTAATGTATATATATATATAATGTATATGTATATATCTTTTAAAATTTATTATTATTTTACAGATTTTTTAAATTATTATGGTATACATTCCAGACAAGGGCCAGGTCGTGTTCATGTTATGTAGGTCTAGAATAGGCCCACTAAAAGGCCCAATCGTTAAATTACAATAGAAAACCAATACTGGATCGAGCTCAAATTGCTGGGTCTGAACCAAAACCAATACTTTTTGTTCCGGTTTTTGAATAATACAAATTTAAATAAATATGTATAATACATATATTGAATGTAGTATTAAAAATAACAAATTGTTTTCAATATAATATTTTTTAAAAAAATTATATATTCAATATTGATATTTATTAAAAAATATGAATAATATTAAAAATTTAAAGCATAAGTATAATTTTGATTTTAAATAGTTTCACACATGAAACAAAGATAATTAAAAAAAAGTCAAAAATTAAATATTTAATATCATATAAATTGAATGTAATATTTTTTCTAAAAATAATTTTCAAATATAATATTTTAAACTAAATATAATGATTTGTTTTATTTTTTAAAAATTATATATCATTGATAGTTTTTTAAATAAAAAAAATAATGATTACTTAGTAGAATAAATATTAATTTCAAGAAATCAGGGGCATTCAAGTAATTTCGTCTTTCAGTCGTTCTTGTCTTGGGCACAAAGATTTCTCCTCTCCGCTGCTTTACATACTCCATTTCCATTCCTTCCAGAATTGTTCGAATTTCGACGGAGAAAAGCTTTCAAATCTTTAAATCACAGAATGAGCCGTGGAAGCGGAGGTGGATACGATCGACACATAACGATCTTCTCACCCGAAGGTCGTCTCTATCAAGTGGGTAAGCCTTTTTCAACTTCAAAAGTATCGGATGCTGGTAGTTTGCCCTAATTAGGCACTGAGTTTGAATAAACAGGGGTTTATATTGATTCGGTGATGCTTTGGTGCAGAATATGCTTTCAAGGCTGTTAAAGCTGCGGGAATCACCTCGATCGGCGTCCGCGGGGCGGATTCCGTTTGTGTTGTTACACAAAAGAAAGTTCCGGTTGGTTTCTGATAGGTTATGGGGTATTTGTTATGGAACTGAGTGTTTTGTTAGTATAACGCTAACTGAAAATAATGTGTGAGCAGGACAAGCTTTTGGATCCGGCGAGCGTCAGCCATTTGTTTCCTATTACTAAGTATCTTGGTTTGTTGGCAACAGGCATGACAGGTAAATTTTTTAGGTTAAACCCATTTTTGTTGGGGCAATAGGGAAGAATGCTGATGGATTGGTCGGTATGAAGCACTAAATATTGAGAAGGGGTTTGAAATTACTACTAGGAATATGATATGAATGATTGCAATATAAGAAATAAGCCTAAAATTTATTTCAATTCATCCAATGAACGTAAATTGCTATTATCATTTCCACTCTTGTATCCTCATAAGAAATGCACCTTCAGAGACTACCTTATATCAGCTTAAATGTGACTAACACCTGTAAGTGCAAGACAATAAGATTTAAAACAGTGTATGTTGTTTGAATATGATACATTTTTAGCTTCTTATTCTGGGTCATAATTAGTTTCAACAAATTTTGTTTACTCCAGCTGATGCAAGGACTTTAGTTCAACAAGCAAGGAATGAGGCTGCCGAGTTCCGTTTCAGATATGGATATGAAATGCCTGTTGATTCATTGGCAAGATGGTAAGCTTCTGTTGCCTATTTATTATATTCTGTGAGTGATTAATATTCCTCATACTATTTGTTGGACAGAATCCCTTAGTCATGAGATATGAATGATGTAATCCTAGCATCATGCTATGTTCCCAACTATTTATAATATGACAACCTTCCTGAAATTTCCTTTGGCACCTAAAAGGTTTCTGAGATAGATAATTACTTTGCGAGGATAATCGATGCAGCTAATTTTTAAATTTAAAAATAATACCTCCATATTATGGAATCTGTTTTTCTTTTTCTAAGTAAGTGATGCAATTGTATTGGAAATCAATTTGTTGCAGGATTGCGGACAAATCTCAAGTTTACACACAGCATGCATATATGAGACCACTTGGAATAAGTCTGTTGCAATCTATTCACTTGATGAGTTGATCTTTTTACTGCTTCGCCTTATCATATGTTTCACTCACTGATTCACTTCTTGTTTATGTGCAAAGTTTCCATGATTTTGGGCATTGATGATGAGAAAGGTCCTCAGCTCTTCAAGTGTGACCCTGCTGGCCATTTCTTTGGTCACAAGGTAGATAAAAAAACACTTAATCCAGACGCTCATTTTGTTCTATCCTTATTTTATTCTAAATCTTGCATTGTTAATTTGTTATACTTTTGTCTATGTCTATTGGTGGGAGTATTTAGACTGAAAACTGTCCTAAGCCCTTCCAAATTAACAAATTCGAAAGTCTTTTTTTTTTTTTGCAAGAAAAGGAGAGAAAAATTAGATTGTTCTCTCCTACAGCCTTAGTATGTTGCAAGTAATCAGCTGATTGAGAGCTTATTTTATTGGACCATGGTGTGCCACATGAGCATGGCATATTGAAAAATAAATCAATTATATCAAAACTAGGAAATATTAATACTTTTATTTAGTTTTTTAACATTACAAGATAAATATATTATGCTCATGCTTAAACAATCACATAGCTTTCAATATAAAGGGGTTAAAAACACAGATACAATGCTCAATGTAACAAAGTTAAGCTAAATAGTGAAGTGTCTTCTTTGTTTCTGGACTTGTCAGTTATTTTTAGTTTTTATTTTTTAAATGTTGTAAAACAGAGTATGTAGTTGCTCTGAAGACACTCTGCTCGTGCTTATGTGATTGGCTAAAGGCCCTAGAAGTATATGCCCTTGACATGTTGATCCCCATCCCATGTACTTTAAATGGTGCTGTGATAGTATCTTCTGGCATGTGGACTTTATGGCTGTGGTTGAAGCTGTACATGTTACTGGTTTTCCTTTATTTGCCCATACACATTGTAGATTAAGGATCTTTGTAAAGATATGTGAGTTGTTCTTATTCTTTTAGGGACCCTGTTTTGAGGCATCTCATATCAACACTTATCCTGAAGAGATATTTGTTTTCTTCATGGTTATTCCAAAAGAGAAGCATACATATCATAAAGTACTAATCTTTAAGGAAATCATTTCCAATAATTATCTTGGAATTTTTCTGCCGGAGTACATGATCGGTTGAGAGGGAGGATTCATGTGCTGCAATAGCATTATCAGAAATGTTTAAAATATTCATTTATATTGATTTAACAAATGAACTTAGTTATATTTTATTTTTTCTTTATAATCGGTAGTTTCATGAAAACTTCCTTTTTTTCTTTACGTTTGATTAATTTGAGATGTTTATCTTCTATATGCTATCAATGAATATCTGAAGAAAATGAACCATTTTCTGTTTTCTTGTTTATACTTAAGACATTTCTGATCTACTTTGAGAAATGCAATGCTCTTCCCTTTTATTTATTTATTTGTATTTCCATCTCTTTTGGATGGGAAGATAATGTACATTATCTTTTTTGACAGGCAACTAGTGCTGGATCCAAAGAGCAAGAAGCCATTAACTTTCTAGAGAAGAAGATGAAAAATGATCCAGCATTCACCTTTGATGAAACTGTACAGGTAAAGGCAAACAATAATATATGCTTTGTAGCTAGCTTTGATATGTTCTTATCAATGCTGTGTTGCTCATGGATGCACCATTTCTTATTATATAATGGAGCACTAAAATTTTGTGTGTTGTATTGCTTATGTAAATCATTAGGGTCGTCGATGTACTTGTGCAGTTTGGATGCCCTAAAGATTGTGATGTTGGTTGCTTTAACTTTCTCTGTGAATGAGCTTTAGAGTAATTGAATCCTGTCATCTCAAAATTAAACTTTTGGGCTTTATCCCATCAGGCCCTTTTCGATAGTCCATGGGTTCATCTTTAGATGTTAAGTTAGTTCTGTCTGCTAAAAAATAAATTTATGATTCAAGCAGTGCAGTAGATAATCCTTCTTTTGTTTCTTATCCCTGTTCTTTGTCTCAGTTTAATGACAGAGATTGGATTATTCAAGTGAAAACTATCATTCATTGGGCTCTATTACCTCCTAATTCCATATTGGTCTGAGCTTATAGAAGCCGAGGCAATTAGTAATATATGGAAAATTAGAATGTGGATAAGAATAGGTTTACTAGACACTTAGCCCGCCACTTCACTTGTAGTTTCTGCATCTAGGCTTCGATTGCTTTGCATGAGTCATTTCCTTTCGTAATACTTGGCACAAGTTTAGTTTGAATTTATTAATCTGATGCCAACTTCAGGTATCCTAAAATCTCAATTGTTTTTGCAGACTGCAATTTCAGCTCTACAGTCTGTTCTACAGGAGGATTTCAAGGCGAACGAGATTGAGGTAATTCTTAATACTTATCTCAAAAGATCAAACCTGATTCCTTATCCTAAACGGTTCTTGAATTTATGACTATCTTGAGGTGTCGATCTCCTTTTGTGATCCCAAATAATTGTGCTGACTGCTGACAAATTTGATAGCGTATTATGATCTTGTTCCTTGAGCCAGCGATCACTTAACTTTCTGTTACTTTAAATCTTTGTGATCTTGGCCAGGTTGGTGTGGTGAGGAAAGACGATCCTGTGTTCAAAGTCTTGTCAGCCGAAGAAATCGATGAGCATCTCACTGCAATAAGCGAGCGCGACTGAACCCAATTGCATCTTGCTGCCAAACTGTGCTGGAAAACCTTAAACATGAACTGCTCCATTGAATGATGAATTAAAGATTTAAAAATTCTCTAAATTTAGTCAGACCATCGAATTTCCATGTTCATGTGAAGGCTTCTTATGGCATTTTCAGGTCATCAATCCCGTGTTCCTTTTAAGGTAAGCAAACGATGATAGTTCAAGCAAAATTATGACGTTACTACATTAGTTCCCTTCTTGTTTCGAATTAATTTGTGTTTTTCTGAATTCAAATGGCAAGTGATGTGAATTCCAAAATGAATTGAAGGGGGCACTCAGTGAGTTAGTAGAAGGTAGTGGTAAATAATAGCAGCATTAGCAACACTGTTAATTGAGCCAAGAATGGCTTCATGATGCTGAACCATTAAGCTTAAGTAACTGTAGTTTAATGTAGACATTATCGATGGTTTTTGAGGCAATTGACATTATGATACTATTAAAAAAAAAAGAGAAAAACCATAATCAAGTCTAGGATGTAGGTTTGTAAATAAATGAAGAATAGGGTAGCCAAGAGAAGTCCAAAAAGCAGATGACAGGCCCAATGGATATCAGCCCAAGAAGAAAGAGAACTCAATCTGCTCAGAAAATTAACACAAGATTGTATAGAGAATTAGTTTTGATTTGAATATTTAAATAAATTTTTTATGTATTATTTTATGAAAAAATTAATATATTTTTATTAAAAATAATATAAATTGAATAGCAGTTCTTTCGGCTTAAAAGACAAACCAAACACAAAATTTGACTATTAGAACTAATTGGAAAAAATTAAATTTATCAAATTAAATATATATATATATTTTTAATGTAATATTATATGAAAGTCATACTATTTTGATTCAAAATATTAAATTAAAATTTATTTATGTCATATTACACTTTCAATTACAAAATCTTTATTATTCAAACCAAATACAAACAAAACCTAGGGTATATGCAATGAGAATTTCTTCCAGCAGCCTGAGAAATACCCACATTTTATTTGATTCTTCAAAAGACATCTTCTTGATCATATATAATTCACCATTTACCTTATTAGTTTAGTTTGTAAAATATTAGATTTAATCAAAAATTTATTCACAGGACATTCAAATATTAGCGAACACTGCATGTTCAGTGTTTCACGTCATAAAAAAAAAAAAAAAAAAAAAAAAAGACATCTTTTGATATATTTACAATTATTTACAATGTCAATATTGAAATGGTACATCCCAATGTGTTTGTTCGGGGATTTGGATTTTGAGTTGGGATTCGAATAGCAAAAATTTTGAATTTGAACAGTTGTATGATGTGATATAAATAAGTGATGATGTGATGTTTTAAATGTAAAATTGATTTTTTAGTATAATATAAAAAATGAAAAATAGACGTTTGATTTGATGTTTTTGGGAAAAAAAATTAGATGAATATTGAATTTGGGGAAAATCCTCCAAACAAACACACTATGATTAGTGAATTATTTAATTTTTTTTTCTAATGTTATAGATGACAATAATTTCAAATTTCTTTTTTGGTGAAAATTTATTCAACAAATAATTTTGTTTACAATCCAAATTAGATTACTAAATTTTGTATGTAGGATTTTTAAGCAACTACCACATATCAAATTATCATAAAACTTAATATTATTGGATAAGATTATTTATAATATACATATGGTTTAAAAATTGCATAAAACTTCTTCATATTTTTTAAAATATTACATATAAATTTTTTAGAAATTATATTTAATATTTTGAAAAACGCAAGAGAGTTCCATACAATTTATAAAGGATTTTGGACAATTTTCTTAGAATATAAGAGAGCTTATGCAATTTTTTTAATCATTAAAGAATGTAATACAATCCTTTTAAGTTATAAATAAGTTATAAACAATTTAACCCAATAATATTATCGATATCATATGCGGATAACCTTGTATAGAAGTTTTTATAAATAAAAAATAAATAAATTGAAAACTTTTACTAATGCAAAAATCATTATATATATATATGTATATATATAATTAGAAGAATAATTTTTTCATTAATTATTGTAATTTTTCATACTACAATATTATCATTTTACACAGAGAGATGAGAAATGTATTAAGAAAAAATTCATCTCCTTAAATTAGCAACATACAAAGCGACAACCGCTAAAAATAAATAAATAAATAAAAAATAAAATTCTAAAGTATCATCATTCACCAATTATATTAAACATGTAATAGAAATATCTAATACAAGTCCTTTAATAAGATGCATGGTACTGGATATTTAATTATTTAGGAAACATAAATAATATTTGAAACATAAAATAATATACTTAAGATATGAAATATATGTAGATTAACTATTCATTGATTCATTAAGTCATACATAACAATTTTATAAAGAAAGTCATTATATTTAAGATGATAATAAAAAATGAGTAAAATATTTTATTTCATATTTTACAAAGGTAAATAACACTTGAAATATAATAAAGTATAGCACAATTTTATAATATATTGAATAATATTCAACATTCTTTAAAATACCCCATTGATTTTATAAAAAAATTTATTATATTCATGAGAGTTGTGTTTAATATCACAACTCTTTATTTCATATTTCTTAGTAAATTGAATAAAAGAATACAATCAATCCTAAATATAAATAGTCAAATTGAGACTATTATTAGGATTTATAAAGTACAATTAAGACCCTAAAACATATCATACTAAAAATCCTATCAAATTTTGATAAGTAATAAAATGTCATTATGTCAGTATGTGTATATTTTGTAGTTCATATTATATTATGAACACAATGAATATTTTATATTAAATTATGTGACATAAATACTTAAAATCACATTAGCATTTAATTCATATTTTCTAAATCAAACGTAATTATATATATACAATATATCCTGCTTTTAAGAAATATATATATTGATAATACAAAGAGAAAAAAAAAATAGATAAATCTATAGGTAATCATCTATATTATTTATCACTATCGTCTCTATTGTCTCTACAACTCATTAAACTGACATTCTCTTAACATTTAAAAATGTAAGACGGACGAAACTAACTTTGCATTTTTTTTCTACATTTTGCATAATTTTTCACCTATCTTTTAGTTATTTTTATTATTTTTTTAAATTACAAGTGTACGATTATGGGCATTGCACATTAACAATTGTAATTGAGTTATTTGAAATCGATGTAGTTCTTTATCCGTCTTCTTATGAAGTCCAATTTTAAAATTTAGCTTTTAGAAACTACTAAATCATCTAACTATAATTATGGGCATTGTACATTCAACAATTGTAATTGAGTTATCTGAATTCGATGTAGTTATGTGTTCGTGTTTTTATATAATCCGACTTTAAAAATTAGTTCTTATAAACTATTGGATCATCTTTATTATATTATAATAAATTAAATGTGAACAAAATATATTGTAATTTTAAATTGGAGAGTAAAGTATATTTTTTATTTGATTTTTAATCAACTATTAAATATCATATTCAATATTCCTCCGCCTCAACTGAAAGTATCATTTTTACTATTTTGATTGTTTCACTTAAAAATATCATTTTTTTTTTTTACGATATCTAGTTGGAACAACATGTTCTTCCTGAATAGCCTGATTTAAGGCCAACGAAGTTATCGCCGCTAAGATATAGTATTCATCTCCACCAGGAGATAAATAAAGCTCTTTACCCGCTTATGCATTCATAGCACAAGACTTTACTACTCAAGCTGCATTATATACTCATCACTAATATATTGCAAGATTCATCATGACATGAGCTTTTGCTTATGAAGCTATATTTTTCATAAAGATTGCAATCCAGGACAAAATGATTCAACCATTTCATTTTACCAAGTTAAATGTTAGCCAGATTAGTTAACATTTCTATATTTCGATGCAACAACAAGATGTTATTTGTAACAAGTATTTTTGTTGGTTGGTTAATTGGTCACATTTTATTCACGAAATGACTTGGATTGGTATTAGTCTGGATACACCAAAATCATTCTATTAGATCAAATAAGATTGGCCGTAGATAGACGCCCAAGCCATTTGTCTTTTCTATTGTTTACTATTTTGATTACAATTGTTAATAAAAATTATACTACAACATTATGAAAAACAATTCAAGACATTGTTGCTTTAAAGAAAAAATGATAAGTTTATACTCAATGAAGCTATACAACTGAGATATTAAGTTAGAGCAAATAGATTTTAGATCGCATCAAAGTATATTTTGAATGTGATCGTCAAGTTTGATGAAGAAATTTTCAATTTATGATGGCTTAATATTATTCTCGGCTCACTTTAACAAAAAATGTTATATTTTATTTGACTAATTCTACTCCCTAACAAAAAGTAAATTCAAAATATGTCCAAAGGTGTAGTGAAAAAAATGATAATATACATTTAATCATATATTTTCATTTCAATATATTTCATATGGAAAATAAGAAGAAGTCATAATATATATTAAGGTCGTAACACTATAAATTATAATTAATAAAGAAGAAAATTAAAATCAAAGTACAAATATTTTGAATGACGACATTATTGTATCAAATGAGAACTCACCAAAAGATATTACTTTAAGTTGAATGATAAAGAATAAAAATAAATACACTATCAGTGAAATAATTGATGGTAGTAAAAATAATGATGGTGTAAATATTAAAAGAAATAAAACCAGTTGAGTTGTTGAAAGCGATACATTAAATAATGATTGTCAATACAAAAATTTTTACCTTATAAACTCCAAAGGATTTTAGAATATTAAAAATAATTATTGATGAATTGAAACATATTGTGGAATTCGAAATTGAGTGCTTGGATATTGATATTTGATCCATATTAGCTTTGAATGATGTGAGACTTTAATTTGTATTTAATTACATCTCATTGTTAATGTTTTGTGAATCTTAGTTGAATTACTTTGGTAAAAATAATTAGGCAAAATAGTAAAAATTTCTTTTGTAGTTTCTTGAATTTGTTGAAAACCCTCCCGTGGTCCAAAAATTCTATAAAATCTATTTATAGTTTCTAAAATATTGTACACTTGCCCTTTTATTCTAAATTGCACTAACGGTGTTAAACTTTTACACATACTAACTATTATGTCCCTATCTAAATTAGATTTCTTCTGTTTACTTTATCGCACTTTCTCTCCCTTTCCCCCTCTCTTTCACCGACGCCATCATC